ATATTTTATTAGCATATATGGCAGTTCCGTTCACTACTGAAGGTGAACTTAAGTAGCTCTAGCTGATCATGTTTGTTCTATGAGTTACTCATATTTATCCACAAACTCAAGAGCAAAATATTCACACCAAAAATATTTCTGGAGTTTAAATTATCTGTCTAGCCTTTTCCTTCTTAAGTTCGGGCACATTAAGCACAAAGGACGGGAGTCGATAGCTTGGATCATGGAACCAGTCCCGGGCGTCCCATTTTGGTCCTAATAAAAAGGACAACGCGCAATGCCACTTCCCCTTTTTCCTTCACAAGTGTCAAAAGTTATACTAGGATGCAGGTCAATAGCACACACACGCATATTGATGTATACCAATATGAAAGTAATGGTCAAGAGCTAAACTTGCAATGGGTCGGTCATATAGTAGCATCAACTCAAAAAACTTTGGAGAGACTCGATCCCACTGTAGTAACAACACTAATTATACTCCAAGTAAAATCTTGGCAACCATCAATCGATCAAGGTAGCTGCATGCTCACTTGCTCAGTCGCAAATCGAACTAGGCGATAGCGGGATGGATCGGGGTGGTGTAGGGGCCTGCTGCCGTGATGCTTATGGTGGTGGTACTCGTGCTATTTTCGCTTCACGGCAACTTTCTGCATGATCGGTCTTCCTCGACCTGGTCATCGACGTGTTCCGGAACTTCCGCTGGAGTACTTGCCCAGGATATTTGGATAGGACATAATCCGGCCGTGCACGTCCATATCAGCCTATGAGGTTCTGAGGGCGTGGCAAGCTCTGTTGGTTGATGACACCTTGAGGCATATCGGCTTCTTGATTTCCATGGTGGAGACAGCGGTGGAGAAGGTCATGGTGGCCGAGATCGGAGGATCGGTTAGATGGACGCAGCCTTGGTAGCGATTGAGTCAGCCAGGTGTGAGATAACTCTCAGGAGCAGCAGTGATAAGTTGGGGTGGCAACACCGGCGGATTTCATTTTTGGTGGTGCTCTTCGGGTGCCGAGTCGTGACTTTCATGGTGAAAACCTAGGGTCTGACCTTCATTGGTTGTGCTTGGCGATTGCCTTGCTGAAGGAATTGTTTTGAGAGTGCGGATTTTCTCCAGTGTGAAAACCTAAGATCTTGGATCGGGCAACGACGATGCTTGTGCACTATTTCCTTCTTGGAGGCGTTGCTTTTGGGACACCTTTTATGTTTTTCGGGTGTTGTGTTAGGTGGTGGTATGTGTGCTGCTGTTGCGAGGGGTCGATTGTTGTGGCAGGACCTTTATTTTTATTTTATTTTCATTTCCTTTTATTTTTTCCTTTGGCTGTGTGCATCCTGGATGTCTCTGTGATATTTTGTTGGTGCAGAGGCTGGGTATAATTGGTATCTTCGCGATATTAATATATTCTCCTTTTCAAAAAAAAAATCTTGCTTGAAAATTTTACACCATATCAAAGGGGTGCATGAGGGTAATCTTTGCTCCGGCTGCGCCCCTGATCATGGCTACTAGTTACCTCATGTGGTCCTATAGCTAGCTAGCCTTTTAACTTACTCTCTGCGTTGTAATTAAATATGCACATGCAAGCAGTCACAAAATTAAACTATGTGGCGACATGCAACCCGCGCAAAGCTGCTCAGTCGGTACATGAATCATGCACGGGATTGATCTATCAGCAAATATAATTCAGCAATATCCAATTTTACTTATCTTTTACTCCATAGTATAAGAACACGTGACGCACAAGCAGTGCAAATATATCCGTACAAAAAAGTATTACCAATAGTCAATGTTGCACTTTTAGGCCCCTTTATCCGAAGCAAAAGAGAAGAAAAAATATTGTGCTTACGAGTTACTTGTTCAATATTGTTTCGCAAGTTAGGAATGAACTTCCCTGCAAAAAAAAAGTTCAACAATTCGCTACCCCACTATTTAGCAATAGTAATCATGAGTCATGAGCCACCTACTGCATTGTTAAAAAGCACACATAAAAGCAAGGGAATCAAGATAAAATAGAGAGGTGGACATACGTACATATGTATTGACTGGTGATTACCAAAATTTTAAAACCTGTCATACATGCTCCAAGCTGGTCGATCCAGCTCACACATACATTATTCTTTTGTACATACGCCTCAAAGTTGGAAGCTGCCACTGGAACCGGTCGTATCAATTTTGTATATTTTGAACTCGATCAACATGTACTATATACACATGACTGTGTTTGGTTAGTTGAGTTGTAACATCCTAAGAATGTATATAATCAATCTGTCACCTCAAAAATGAAATAACCATGGTCATCAATCTCCACACATCGCAGAGTTGACAAGAAGCTTAACGGTAGATACGCCAACCACTTGATCAAATGAAGATATATGTAATCGTTAACATGCTAACTAATTAAAGTGAAGTGATCAAGGGTTAGTAGTCGTCTCGTTTTGATGTATTGATGGAGTATGAACGACTTTTCCTTGGAAGGCACCGATCACTCTCACTTTAAAAGATGTAAATTACTCCATATCCATGCATATATATTGTATCTATACAACAGGAGACCCTAGACTTGCTACCTTCGTGATTGGCTACCCCATTGATCTGATCTGATATCGATCAATCAAACACGCACACTTGGTAGGGTTATAATACCATATGTACTCCTACAATGGAAGTTGTTTAGAGAGATGCTTGTAAAAATAAATCCATTTTTGCTTAAGCGTCGTTGCTTGTTTCTATAGCAGAGATACCTAATTAAGCATATGTGTGTGCTATACAAATAATGATACCTGCACCATGGCATCACCTTAATCGTGTTAGTAGATGACCAATTAGTTGTCAGACACGCATGTACTCTACTATACTGTAGACATTAAGCAGCAATAGTAGTACATGAGAAATCCAAACTTTGTCGCCAGTCCTAATTTTCATTTCCTTCTTTTTGTATAACCCACAAGAAAGAACCTTTTCTTCGGAATAGCGGTCACATCCATATGCGTCGTCGCTCTGAGATACATGTATTTCTTCGACAACTGACGATGCAAAAATCTAGTTTGGGCATAGCATTTAGTTTGGGATCGGCCGTTGCATGTTTGAGAACTCAAAGCAAGAATGAAATCCAAGTTGAAACATCAAGAACCGACCGGATTTGTCTTGAAAAAGGACCAACACGCATTGTCACTTTCCCTTTCTTTCCCTTTCGTTGCACACCAGACGGAGTGCAAAATTAAGTTCCCACGTCAATCGTCAGTGCACAACAGGATTAATAAATCACTCGAAAAGTACGCAGGCAAGCAGATCGATGAATATCATTATGAAATTATTAGCAGTCAAAACTTGCAATTAGTCGTTAAGCCTTCGAGCTGTCGGCGTGCATGGCTTTCACTAGCTCTCCACGTGATAAGTGCAGACGGATGAGGCCAGTCGACAAAACTAAACCGCGTGGTGACATGCAACGCGCATGTGGAGTATGAAACGGGGTACTTACTAGCTGCTCAGTCGCTAATGGAGTAGCTACACATAAATCATGGGATTAAATTGCCACCAAAGATAATCATGGCAGTATGACATTTTATTACTTATATTTTTACCAACTTAATTATCCATACGAAAGTAGTGCTTATGAGTAGTGGTGCTCAGCGATGCACTAACCCACTAATTAGTACTCATGAACCATCTACTTTTCTATAAATGGTAGATTTAGTGGTTCAAAACAAGCATCAAGAAGATACAAACACAATGAACAGGCACCTGACCTCGGCACTCTAGGATGCACAGAGCCAATGAGCCACCTACTGCATTGTTCTTTTAGCCCATGCATAAAGCAAGGAGGGCAAGATAAGATGAAGATGTGGACATATAGACTAACAAATTATTTAAACATGTTACAAATATTCTCCACGCTGATCGACCCAGCTCTACATTATCCCCATTTTTGTACATATCTACGCCTCAGAAGGTGGAGGCTGCCGCTGAAACCATACGGCCAATTTTGTATAGTTCGAGCTCTCGGCTGCTAGCTCTACAATCATGTTCTGCTATATACACATGATGGCGTGTAGTTAGTTGCGCTGTCGCGTCCTAAGAATGTATAGAATCCACCTGTCATCTGAAACAAAACACAAAAAAATACAAGAACGAGTGCTCGTCTCTAGAGAGTATAGAAATCGAGTCGACATCTTTTTTTTTTGAAATGGAGGCATACCCCCGGCCTCTGCATCATGATGATGCATGCATCTATCTTATTAACAATCCACAAAGTATCGTCATAAAAGTCTTACAGCTCGCAAACGGAGTAGAACAAAGTAAAAAAGGAAAATTACATGCTGAGAAAGACAACCGATACGGTAATAAGAAGGATAAGCTCCCTAGACTCCTATCATGTTATGGTACGGATCCAAGCTGTAGCTCTGAAGATAATCTGCAAGAAAGTTAAAGTTTGTTGTCTGTTAAAAATCATATCATTCCTGCAGTTCCATATAGCCCATAATAGCGCACATATTTCAATCTAAATACGAGGCGCAGTAATCTGTTCAACCCCAGCTAACCACGTCCCAAACAATGATGCAATATGGAGTAGACATGAGTTGACGAGAAGTAGCTCGGGTTAGAGAGATCGAGTAGACATGAGTTGACGAGAAGATCTCGACGAAAGATACGGGAAGCATAACATGCTAATTAACTAACTAATTAAAGTGATCTCGTTTTGATGGATCGATCGAGCATGCACTACTTTTCCTAGGGAGGCATCCATCACTTTCACATGTGTGTATATTTTATTAGCATATATACTCCAAGATCATGGCACTTTCGTTGACTAGCTAGCTGGTAGCTAGTTGATCTGATCATACGTACCGACCGATCAAACCGTACTAATTGGGCTTATAAGTACCTACCTCTTGCCATCACCTTAATGACCATTAGTAGACGGCCAATTACTACGGACACGCCTGTACTGTACTGTACTATACACAAGGTTAGCTTCTGGCTAGCTCTATTCTTAGATAGCCAGCCATGAAGGGTCTCGTCGTAGTCCTTCTGGGCCTTGTGATCGTCAGTGCCATTGGTGCTAGCAGCGCGGATGTGCGGCGGCCGGTGGTGCCGGCGATGTTCGTGCTGGGGGACTCGACCCTAGACGTGGGCAACAACAACCATCTGCCGGGGAAGGACGTGCCCAGGGCCAACGAGCCCTTCTACGGCATTGACTTCCCCGGCGGCGCCCGGGCCACCGGGCGGTTCAGCAACGGCTACAACATCGCCGACTTCGTCGGTACGTATCACGCAATTTCACAACCATATGTATGTATGTGTAGATCATGTGCTAACTTGATGGATGGATGCAGCGAGGCAGCTGGGGTTCGAGAGGAGCCCCCTGGCATACCTGGTGCTGAAATCACGCAACTATCTCATCCCCAGCGCTCTCACCAGAGGGGTGAGCTACGCCTCGGCGGGATCCGGGATCCTCGACTCCACTGTAAGTCACTTCAATTTATCTACAGATGCTTGGCTATGTGCTCATTTCTTTGTTCCAACTTGCAACGGAGTTCTTTTAGTGTGAGATGGTATGTAGAAATATATAGCTTCATGTTACGTATATTACAGTGGTTTTATTAGTATTATGATTTATGAACAATATAGACGGTGGACAAATAAAATTTCAGGGACAGATTGTGCCGTGTAGTATCTATATAGCAGGGGAAAATGTGCTCAAAACGTCCACTTGGGATGGTACTTTCCCAAACAGCACGCTGTCAGTGCATTTGTCTGGTTTACTTGGAACCGGTGTCCGAGGCAGAGAGCTCTCGAACGTGGGATCAGGAACCGAGACACGTGTATAGGTCGATCATGTACGCACGTTACCTCTGAGAAACTTATAATTAAGTTGTTTTATGGTTAGTTTTACTTTGCGGGATGTTTTATGGTTAGTTAATCAGAGTCTGTGTGCAATCACTTCATGCAGATGCCGGAGACGTTCCCCTCTTTTCGAAAAAGTTAGTTAGATAATTAACTAATCATCAGAAGCGCACAACAAGCACTCCAAATTAAACCGAGTCATAGTTTGATAACCATATGCTTATATGATGGCACGTATACATGCCACAGTTCTCAATTAACTGCAAGTGTTGTTGTGGAGTGTCCCCTGTGGTGTCTAATACAAATTTAGTTTAGTATTTTCAAATACAAATTTGACGACACTAACTTCTTGTCACATGAATTGAATGTTATATATCGTTTAGTCAAACCTTCGTTTCTACAAAACTAAAAGGTTTTAATTTTAAAATGCAGCTAATGTACTGTTACTAATCAACCACTTGGTTATCTTTTAGCTAAATAACCATGCATATGTTATTACTCTAATATGTAGCCATATGTATTTTGTGAGCAGAACGCAGGAAAGAACATACCGTTATCGAAGCAGGTGCAATACTTCGCGTCCACCAAGGCCGAGATGGAGGTTGTGTGGGGCAGCCGTAAAGTCTCCAAGATCATCGCCAACTCCTTCTTCCTCCTTGGCACCGGTAGCAACGATCTCTTCCAGACCAGACCAAAGTCCCAAGCCGATGTTGCGGCACTCTATGCCACCCTCGTCTCGAACTACTCCGCAGCCATCACTGACCTGTATGGAATGGGCGCGAGGAAGTTCGGGATCATCAACACGGGCCCAGTCGGGTGTGTGCCACGGGTGCGTTTGTTGAACGCGACTGGCGCCTGCAACGATGGAATGAACCGTCTCGCCGCCGGGCTCGCCGCGGCGATCAAGTCCGGCCTCGCCACCACGCTCACCACGACCAGGCTCCCTGGCCTCGCGTACTCCCTCGCCGACTCCTTCGCTGGCTCGCGGGCCAACTTCAAAAACCCTCAAGCGACCGGGTTGGTGAACGCCGATAGCGCTTGCTGCGGGATTGGTAAGCTGGGCGCGGAGGGTAAGTGCATGAGGAACGCGACACTGTGCGGTGACCGTGACGCATATGCTTTCTTTGACAATGTGCACCCGAGCCAGCGGGCCGCTGAGCTGAGTGCCCAGGCGCTCTTTGTTGACGGCCCAACACAAATCACCGCACCCATCAGCTTCAAGGAGTTAGCCCACCAGAGATGATTGATAGACTCAAAAAAAACCAGAGATGATTGATTGATTCTTTGAAAATTAGTACAAGACATGATTGATTCTCTTGAGTTTGAGTGATTATGTATGTTGTTGTATTTCTTTTTCAAAACTCCATATATTGCCAACTAAAAGCATCTAGCCGATCCCTAAAAAATAGAGGAGTAAACGGCTGAGTAAACCTCAGTGGAGTATTTTGACTTCATTAAGTTTTGGTCGTCTCTAGCTGATCTCCGAAAGTTAGCGGAGTAAAACTTACTCGAACACTTGGCACGCGCACTCCAGCACTGACAGGACGGACAAGACGAAGGATGGTGATGGGAAGGAACAATAAAAATGATAGATACATTAAAGACGTATCACCCGCCAAATTAAATATCCACCACTTCCAAGATATAAGGGGCATTAGTTTAAAAGTCAAATTTCTTTAACTTTGACCAAGTTCAAAGTAAAAAAATATCAACATCCACAATATCAAACAAAAAAGTTATGAAAACTAATTTCATGACGAATCTAATCATACTGATTTGATATTATGGATTTTGATATTTCTCTACAAATTTGATCAAACTTTAAAAGTTTGAGTTCTCAAAAAATAAATACACCTCATATTTTGAAATAGAGTGACTTTTTTTTAAAGAAACCCAACAACACCAGAGGCGCACCAAAGCGCGCCCACCCCTTCGAGTCTTCCATAACACTATGCTCCCTAATTTGTAATGCCTTACAGTCCATTGAGGTCTCCAAATTAAATTCGGTCATCCGATTTTGACTGAGTCAAGAATTTCTCAAAGCTCTTTCATTTAATTATTTTATACTATACACTATGCTCCCTAGTGATTTTGACCGAGTCTAAAATTTCTCAAAGATTGTCCATTCAATTATTAATTACTATACACTATGCTTCCTAATTTTCAAGCTCTCACAACTAATTGAGGTCTTCTATTTAGAATTAGGTCATCCGATTTTGACTGGGACAACAATTTCTCAAAGAGCCCTCCCATCTAATTATGTTAATTCACTTGTTCCCTAATTTTGAAGCTCTTTAATTCAAGTGAGGTATTCAATTTTGAATTTGGTTTTTGATTTTGATCAGGTGAATGATTTTTGAAATCAATCAACAGAAACCTGCCTATAAAAACATATCAAACCCGCGCACCCAATCATCACTTAGAAAAAAAGAAGAGCCACCATGTGATACTATAGCACCAATAAATATGGTTTGATAGCGGATAACACATAATCACGCCGTGAAATGCCCACCAAACATCTAATGGGAAGGAGCAACAGCAATAGTTCTCCGGAGGGGTCGTTCCCTCTCAATGGAGACCCTGTATGATTTTGAATTTTTGTATGGATCCAAAGGACTTAGTAAAATTTGAAACAATGAATACATAGGATTTTTGTATATATAGCTGAGTTTGATAATGGGTCGATTGCTATTAGTAGTGTTAGTTGAAGACTTTAACTCACTAATAGTGATAGAGAAAGCTACTATCGATTAGTTACTAGCATAACTTTCGCACAAATATTAGTACATGAACACTACATATCTCGCAGTGTGGTCAAAATGTGAAATCGAAATTCAGTACTAACATATAGCTCATTGTAGAGGAACACACACTAGGACTCACGTACGTAAAGATGGTCTCTTTTTTGGCAACCAATCGATACATCTCTCTCTGCAACAAAATGGAAGAATCAATTGATGGATTTGCTGCTGCTCCAACTCCACAGCTTTTTCTAGTGACTTTTCATTGCATTATATAACCTCCTTACAAACCGACTCACTGTTCAATTCGTTGAAGAATTCCAAGGCACACCCAACACGACTCCACACCCGGGATACTGACCCAGTTTAAACACAAACCAAAAGCAATGTGAAACATGCTAACATATACTACGACGACGACAACGACAATGATAAGAACACATGATACGCATCCTTGTATCTTGTTTCCGATCCAAGAATAACCATACATGACATGCTGTGTGAAGCGTCAAACTCCTTTTTTTAGTTGGTAGGATACTGCTGCATTATACCACTAGGTTCATCAACCGACAAAAGCATTTGCACAACATTTTCCATGGTGGGCCTTTTTCTACTGTCTTCTTCTAGGCATGAGACAGCCAACTTGACTATCGTTCTTGCTTGCAGGTCATGGAACTGGCCACTCAACCTTATGTCAATGACGTCAGCAAGCCATAAGTGTTGGTTGCCTTCCAGCATCAAATTCTCTATAACATCCTAACAACCCTTCCAAGGACCATTTCAACTTCCTCGCCGGCATTTGACGCCCAGTCTGAAACACGAGCCCCCATGAGTAGTTCTAGGAGAACCACTCCGAAGCTATAGACATCAACCTTTGTTGTTACTGGCTGGCTAGAAACCCACTCGGGAGCTATATAACCTCTAGTTCCATGAATCCTTGATAATTTTTTCTTGGATCCACTTGTGTTCACGAGTTTTGCAAGGCCAAAGTCGCTGGTCTTTGGCTCCAAGTTCTCATCCAACAATATATTCTCGGGCTTGATGTCACAGTGGATAACCCACTCCATGCACTCGTGGTGAAGATAGGCCAATCCTCTTGCCACCCCTAGAGCAATCTTAAACCTTTCACTCCACCTAAGTAACCTTTCACTACTAACCAGGGTTTTATCCAAAGAACCATTCTCAACATACTCTAAAACTAATATTCTGTGTGGACCATCAGAACAAAATCCCCAAACCCTTACCAAGTTCATATGGTAAATCCTTCCAATCACACTCAGTTCATGTTGGAATTCTTCTTCCCCTTGGTTTATATCTGCCAACCTTTTCACCGCTATAGCCCTCTTGTCTTTTAAGACCCCCTTGTATACAAGACCAGATGCTCCACATCCAATCTGATCCTTGAACCTTTGAGTTGCTGTCTGCAACTCCATGTAAGTGTATCTGCGGAAATGGTTGGTTACCATTTCATAGCCAACCTCAGCTGGCCATACTCCTATTAACTGCTTGCCCTCCATTCCGAGAAAAAACCAGCACCCTAGTGCCACAAATATTACCTCCACACAAAATATAGCCAACAAGAATCCATATGACAAGTACAAGGATTGTGACTGTGATCCACTTTGTCTGCTCTTAGGTTGATCCCCAAAATCTGGAGTGAAGTTTTCGCTCTTTGCACTACAATTAGGAACATATCTAGGACCAAAAGGTTGCGAGTGAGGAATTGATGACTCTCTGACCCGTAGTGTCTTAGGAATCTTGAGATAGATAGAACCACCACTAACAGCCGACCCGGTTACACCCCCAACAAGGGACCACTTTGGATAGCAACGCCCGGTTCCTTGCCAGTATGCAAAACCTTTGCAATTGCAGTCCTTCGAGCATATCTTCTTGCACTCATAACGTGAAACTCTAACATGCTCACTTAGATCATTACCGTGGAAGTCAGTGGTGGGTAGCTTCAAAAATATCTCCTGCCCATCACAACTAAGATTGAATGTTAGTCTGCAACCTTGGCTCCGGTCACTTGGGTTGATGACCTCATGTCCAGGGGCACATGCACAAGCAGGCTTGGGTGTGTACACACATATTCCATTAATGCCACAAAGACCGCGTACCGAGCAGGTCTGAGGATATGCCATCCATGTGACCAACCATCTTCCATCTGTCTTATTTAGACTGTATAATCTAAGGTTGCCATCATAATCCAATGTTAATCTCCTCGTAACCCCCTGACCCCAGTCAACAGCCTTAAAATTTAAATTGTCACTTCCAAGAAAATACCCCGAACTATCAAGGACCCCAATTGTGGTGGTATTAAAAGCACGTCTGTTCTTTGTCCATATATCATTACTAGGATCTGGCCAATATTTAAAAGAGATATCCTTCTCATCGTCAAACAGTGTGAGTATATGTTCATCATCAAAACGGAAGCTGTAGTGCCCAGGGACAAGTAGCCTACTAGAACTAGAAGACACCAACTTTGTAGCACTAGTAATGTTCTGATATGGCAGCAATGTGTCGGTAGGAGAATGGAAGCTTTGCCAAACAATGTTATCACCTTGGCCCTTGACGACGAGGTTCCCAGTGTCCAACAACTGTGCTTGCTTGGCATTTGAAGAAGACGTCACATTGTTCGCCCAGACGGGCCGGCCATCATAGTCTTCTACGGTCAGTCGGCCATCGGAATCAAGGATGACTTGGGATCCCGGGAAGTACACTGGGTGGAGATGGTTCGCACTCCAGACGACCGTCTTTTCAGCCGTATTGGAGTACCATATGGAGAAGACGGAGGCCGTTTCGGAGATGTTGTGGAAGCCGCAGGTGAAAGCACCATCCGGCGAGCGGAGCACGTCGGAGCTATCCTCTACGGAGAGAGAGGAGCCCGGCGAGAGGAAGTCGCGAGCTGAGATGTGCGGAAACAGGTGCAGCAAATTTAGTAGGAGGAGAGGGGTAGAGCGTGTATACATATGTTTGGTGAGGCACCGGAGTTGCTCTCTCATCTCCAGAATGATCACAAACCGGGGCTATTATAGGAGTGTTGCCAGCTGCTTCTGTCTTTGCGAGATAATGCTGTTGGAAATATGAGCAATTTACCAAATGATTTTATTAACAGAAATAGTAGATAAAACATGACTAGTATAGCAGTGATAAAACAAGTCATGCGATTTGACAAAGTGAAGGTAAATAATATCTGCATATATGAGCTAGAACCGATCATCTCTCGAGCAGACAGTAGATCAAGATGCATATATGAGGTAGATCCTAACATGTGTAGGGCAAACAGTAGAACAAGGAACTGTGGCAGGATCTCTAACAGGAAAAACAAGAACACGTACTGGATAGCAGCCGGAGCAGAGGCACTGGACTTGGGGTCGGTGTCCTCCATGTCGTCGAGGAGGTTGTCGACGTCCGGGAAGTAGTCGTCGTCGGGGAAGTAGTCGTCGGAGTCCGGGGCGTCCGTGACGAAGAAGTCAGTAGTCGCGCAGAGCGCTCCTCAAAA